GAAGCAATGTGGAGAGAAGAGATGCAACAGTTTCAAGAATTATCCTGGAGGAAGACAACAGGGATCAAAGAAGTCATCTCCCTTCCCCACCAAGTAATGAGTGACAGCCCTGGTGCTTCACCATCTCACTCTACCCACACAGCTTCTGAAAGAAACACCTGAAGGTGTCAGAGAGAAGGAAAACATCCAGTTTGTGATGTGCACCAGACAATGCTGAAACATAACAAACCTCTGCCTGTAGCAACAAACAGAAAACTGCTTAGTGTTCTTCCTGGAATAGACCCTTTAATTTTGTGGCTTTGTGAGTTTTAATGGATCTCTTTTGCTTTATTTTTTTCTCTCTTCACTTGTTATGCAGGTTGATTTTATATGCTGAATGGGCTATAAGAATTAACTAATGCCTTAGTTATGTTAACAAAAACATGGTACATGAGGAAACATGGTAAATAGACACAGCCACAGACTTCTATCATCCCAAAAGCTGCACTCACAGGCACTGGAATAAAGAAGTTACAGAAAAGAATTCAAAAACAAGGTGGTTAAGATGTTTAAATAGATCAAAGAAAAAGGCAACTTATCCCCAAGATGGTTAGGGAGCTTAAGAAGGATGTCATTAAACAGATAAAAGACAATAAAATATTCAGTAAGCTTAAATAGGATAAAAAATATAAGCTGAGTATCTAAAGTTTTAAAAGATCAGAAATTATAAGAAAAAAACAAGCAGAAAAATACAATATAAAAATTTCAAATAAAAATATGGATAGAGCAAACAACCAGGGTGACTGAGTATAGTGGCAGATACCTGTAATGGCAGCACTTGGAAGCTGGACGCCTGAGCACTGCGATGAGTTTGAGGCCAGCCTGGGCAACAGTAAGTGTGGCCAACTTGAGCTTCATAGTAAGATGGTGTTAAAAAAAAGGGGGGGAAAAGTAGAAGAAGATACAACTAATATGAGGAAAGTGTATCAGATGTTGAAGTGAACTTTGAGGTAATAAGTCATCCTCAATAATTGTTGTACTCATTAGTAGCCTAAAAGTCACAAGATAGCATGAAAGCTGGATTCAACAGCGGCTAGATGGCAAAAAAGAATTTTTGTAGTAAAAGAAAGATTTCAAGGAACTCAAAAGATGTAAGGAAATTATTCACCAAACTTTTAGCAGGAATTCCCAAATGTAGGGAAAAAATCATATAGAGCTCCAAATGGCATGAGCCGAGAAGTGCTCTATGACATATCACATTCAGAATTCTAGAAATTGAGCAGAAAAAATGTAAAAAGCTGTTAGGGAAAATAACAAGTAATTTAAATCACATGCTTATGAGAATAATGGCAAATTTCTCACCACAGCTTCAATGGCTAGAAGAACTTGAAGTGAAGTCTTTCAGGGAAAAAGTGTTAAACACTTTTATATTCTAATTGCTGGAGAAACAAAAATGTTCCATTTCAAATAACCCTAAAAGAATTCATAACCACAAAGCCCACACTGCATAAAATACTTTAGAAACATCTAGACAGAACAAGGTAATTTACCAGTACCAAATAGCCCAAAGGAAAACATTAAATCTAAATTGGAGAGGAGCTACAAATATAAAGGAATGTATAAAGAAGTAAGCATTGGAAAAATATTTCTATGAGACGCTTTAGCAAAAAACTTAAAATAGTACTCTGTTAGTGTTCTTCTTTCCACAATAAAAAACACATTGAAGTTTTAAATAGGAAAACAAACCCCAACAATATATTATCTATAAGAGAGACAACTCATCAAAAATAAATAAACGTAAAATGAGTGTGCATAACATAACATACCACACAACTGAGACTAAAAAACAAGCAGATGCTGCTATGTTATCTTCTGAAAAAATAAAATAATGCCAAAACTGGTCAGAAGACACAAATAAGGTTACTATACACCAGTATCTTGTCACAATTCAACAAGACAAGGAATTAATATATATATGAATGAAATATAAGTGCAACTCCTTTAATAATAGAAAAGCCATTAAAAAGGACAGATAAACACCAAAAATCATGAAAGGTGACTCCTACATTCTGTCTCCTAAATAGATCATCTAGACAAAAATCAATAAAGAAAAATTATAAGTGAAACATAATGTTAAACAAATGCATTTAACAGATATGAACAGATGGTTTCTACTGTTAGATGAATCATCTGTACATATATCTAAAACACATTTCACATAAGTTCATTGAACTTTTTCTAAATAGACTATCTTAGGTCATAAACAAGTATATTGGACCAATGAGAAATAAAATAAGAAATGAATAGCAAAAGAAAATAACAAAGCTATACAAACATATGGAAATGAAATTGTACACTCTTTACTAGTAATTGTGTCACAGACAAAATCAGAGATTCAGTTATTCTTATTTTTTATACTAGAGAGACGATATGATATTTACAAATATGAGTCTGATTTATCTCACTTATTAGGATAGTCTCAATTTGCCTCCATTTACCTATAAAAGACTTAAAATCATTCTTTTTAATAGATGAGTAATATTTCATGTATAATAATAATACATACCTTTAAGACTGATGCATAATAGATATTGAGATATTGAAAGGGAAACAAAGTGCTCTAAAGGAAATAACTGTGCGTATGTTTAAGTGTGCAACATGGATAACTATACTCTTGAAGTTTCTGTTAGTTCATCAGGCAGAATGGTTTGTACTGTCATTGTTTGATTGTCCAGACTTTATGCTCAAATTTTCTGACTTGAGCAATTACTAAGGTAACAAAATGTAACTATCCATTAGTGATTTCTTATTGTTTTTTGAAATTTGTATTATTTCTATCCTTTTTCTGTTTTGCTATTTTTCTCTAATAAAAAATAATCATAGAAGCATTAAAAATTTTCCTACACATGTCTTTATATTCTCAATACTGTTCAGGAGATAGAAGCTGTTCAGGAGCGACTGCTTTACATGAATTTGTTCCAAATATTGTAACAAATTGACAATAAGATAACAGAAAAACACACTCATCCAGATTACAAACAATCATCTCCTCTGCCGGCCCTATATCTCAACACATGAGGGTTTTGTATAGATTTTTTTTTTGTTTTTTGTTTTATATTTTGTGAAACTCTCTAGAATTGAACCATAATACACTGCATAAGTCCTTAGAGAGAAAAAGTTAATTTCCTTAAATGTGTTTGGTCCATCTCTAAATAGCCTGTTTTAGTTATGTAAGTGGTGCTGACCATGTCTAAAATTACTTCTAAGAGTTAAGAGAAACTGTTATGAATGAACCTTTGAGAAAAATCAAAAGGCAAGTTAAGTCCTTCCACCATACAATGGCCCAGGGCCAACATTCGCATTCCAAAATATAGCTATATGAAGGATCAAATGAGTCTCATTCAGACAAGACAGAAATCCAGAAAAAAATGTATTAAGTTCTGTACTCCCACATGCAGCCTCTGGGCCCATATAAGACAGGATTATGTGAGTTCTACAAACACACACTTGATGTAATCCAGTGAATCTATGTTTATGTTTAGAAACAATATATTTTATAATCAGTTTCTATGGAATAGTTGTAAGGATAAAAATGATTATGCAGAATTATTCACAGAGCCATGATTTACCAATGAAAAATATTCCTTTCCCTATGGCCTCAGACTGCCGTTAATACCAGACTCTTCAGAGGAAGTAAGAGCAGGAAGTGTTTTTGACTATATTTTCTACCATGCTAGACATAGACAATATTTGACTTTATGGATAAGTACCAGAGAATTTGCAGCAAAGGTGCTAGATTGAGGTTACTGTCTAATAAATCCACATGTTATCACATCATTGTTATTTGAAAATTTGTATTCTATTACTAGAGAGGTTCAAGGTCCCCAAAACATAAAATTATGGCAAAGAGTTGGAATTCCTAATTTCATCAACTAAATTAGTGTTTTCTCTGTATTCATATTAAAATATCATCTGTATGTCATAAGTATGTATATTTTTTATACATTAATCAAATCTTATGAGATTTCAAAACATACAAGTATTACTCGTACTACTTTTATCAGCCTAAATTGTATAATAGTATAGAATGATTATGGTATATTATGTATAATTTTTAAAATTGAAAGATTTATAATTCAAAAATAAGTAGCTAATAATGAAAACAGCATATATTGACCATATCTTCATTAACAACAGTCTACTATCAAGTTCTGTATTGCATATTTGTAACTTATAGATTAACTATTGTGATAATTTGCTATATGAAAAACATAGTATGTTCCCTTTTAGAAGAACATAAATACTTAAGAACATAATAAAGGACATAATGAAAAATAGAAGATTCATTATCAGATATTTAAAACAATGCAGGAAGTAAAAAGGATCACCTTGATCTGCATGAAAACATGACACCAAACAAAGTTTGTCCACCTGAGGGACTCAAATTATTTCCAGTTGAAAAGAACAGTAAAATGTAGTTGGATTTTCCACGTGTCTCCTCCATTTACTGCCTTCTTGTGTATTTAAGATCTATGAGCATATTAAATAATAAACATTTTCCTTCTTTAAGCATAATAAACTGAGCAATATGAATAAAGTTATGGAAAATATTTCACATAACATACATATATCACAAATCAAAATCATCTAATATTTTAAACTGTGAAAGGAGAAATCAGGAATGTATATACTATTTCTTATTGTATTATTTCCAATTTATCTTCAACATTTTTAATTATGAAAAAGAATGGATTTGCTTATATATGAATCATGAAGACATGTTTCCTTAAGAATATAAATGCATAATAATAATTGTGGCCCATTCAACTATAATCTTAATTTTGTACAGAAATATTTTTCAAAAATATCCTTATATTATTACAATGTGTATTAACAAATAATTATCATTATACAGTTATTAAATTTGATATAAAATTTAGTTTACTGAAATAATAAGATGTATCTACTTTGGAGTTAGCAACTCTCTTCATGCAACACAAGTGATACAATTATCTGTCATTTCATTTCCTTTTTCCAGTCCAAAGTTTCCTCATGGCATTTTTCATCTCTGTATTTCTCAGAGTATAGATGAGGGGGTTCAACAAAGGTGTCATTACAGTGTAGAACACAGCCAGTGATTTATCAATAGGCAAGGTAGAAGGCGGTCTCACATACAGAAAAATGCAAGGCACAAAGAAGAGGATGACCACTGTGATGTGGGAGCCACAGGTGGACAAGGCCTTGCGCCTCCCTTCCTGACTCATGTTCTTCAGGGAGTGCAGAATGACCCCATAGGAGATTGTTAAAATTGTAAAAATGACCACACAGATTGCCCCATCATTGGCGAGCACTGTGAGACCAATAACATAGGTGTCTGTGCAAGCGAGTTTCAATAAGGGGTACATGTCACAGATGAAGTGGTCGATGACATTGGGACCACAGAAAGGAAGATTGTAAGCAAAGAGAAGTTGAAGAACAGCGTGCAAAAACCCCCCAACCCAGGCCAGCATCAACAACTGTACACAGAGCCGTTGGTTCATGATGGTCAGATAATGAAGGGGTTTATAGATGGCCACATAGCGGTCATAGGCCATGGCCACCAGGAGCAAAATCTCAGCACCACCAAATAAGTGTTCTAAAAACAGCTGTGCCATGCAAGCTTGAAATGAAATGGTTTTCTTCTCACTGAGTAAGTCTATAATCATATTTGGGGTAACTGTAGTGGAATAAACAGCATCCATAAATGATAAGTAGCCAAGAAAGAAGAACATAGGGGCATTCAAGGCTGGGCTGAGCATCACAGTGAGGACAATGAGTAGGTTGCCTGCCATTGTCACCAGGAAGATCAATAAGAACACAGCAAATAGTATTTTCTGACACTGGAGGCTCTGAGTGAGCCCCAAGAGCACAAACTCCGTCACATTGTTTCTGTGTTCCATATGTCCTTCTTTGTGTCCCTGTGTCACTGATGAGATCAAAATTATCTAGAAACAGAATTATTAACAGTGAGTCCATAAAATTTTAGGATGAAATTTATTGCATTTATAACCGCTTTTATTCATTATGTTTCATAACTCTCTGAGAGAATACAAGTCTCCTAAAGCATTATGCCTAACTTTAGCATTCTTATAGATTAATAGTGTCAGAAATTAAGTAGGAACATTGTGGAAACGACTGATGAGAAAAACAGTCTGCCATAAGTAGCTTGCTATATGGAAACTAATTAAGTGGCACACCTATATTACACCATAGACAGAAAAAAGGATTAAATTTAATATAAAACAGCAAGAATTATTTTATATTAACTTTAAGTTAATAAAAAATGATTTTCTATATACTTGGGATAAAAGAATCTTCTCAACTTACAGTATGAGTCTTTAAAAATGCACTTGACTATTTCAATATATCTTAATCATACAGGAAAGGATACTATAAGTAAATACAATGAAGAAATTTAAAGAAGAGATTTATATTTTAGAAGATATAAAAGTTAATATGTAAAATAGATGAAGACCTTCATGAAATTTATAAGTGAAAGAGAGCACTGTTGTGTAATGGATAACTGAAATAAGCAACCCACAAAGGAAAGTATATTCAAATTACTAATAAATATATGACAGGACTGTGAAGCTCACCTGCAAACTGAAAACAACAAAATTAAAATAAATCAGATATTACTTCATATACATGAAATATAGAATGGCAAATATTTAATTGTGGCTGGTAAAATGGAAAATATATTTTTGTACTTACCCAATGAAATGTAAATTTTATATCTTTTTGGAACATAATTTGTGAAGCTCTGCTGGAAAAAAATATTCATAGTTTCCACAATACGTGCACTATTTTGAATCTGTCACATAAAAATTAAATTCCTACTACATAGGATATAAATGCATTAAACAGAAACATAGCAAATTAAGGTGAAAGATTAAAAGTAGTTGAGATACCAAGTCTGTTACATAGAAAAAAACAGTGCAAGATAATTAATGACGATTATATCAGTACTAGTTGAGAATTTTTCAAAACTACTGACTAGAAAATAAAAGAAATTTCCACAACACTATGTTTAAGATGTATTATGAAAGAAAAAAATAAAATATCATACCACTTGGGAATGCTTGCACATAGTTACAGTGAATGTGAGGAATATGAAAAGTTAGGTTTTGTTGTAAGTGTAGTTTACACTTGTACTGTTAGTACAGGGAAAAAACAACTGATGATATGTGAAAGATTAAAATGGCTTGAGCAGAAAAAGCTATCTTTAGAGAAAGACAGAAATAAATGGGAGGGAGAGAGAGAGATACAAGAAGATGAATACAGAGACAGGAAGAACAGCAAGAAGGAAAGGGAGAGCAGAGAGAGAATAAACACTGAGGCAAAAAAAGTGAAAGAAAAATCACAGCAAGGAAAAACAACTGTAATATAAGCTGGACCAATAGTCACTAATTCAGATAGTTTAAGTAATCCTATTCATTACCGTTACTCTCTAAATACCTAGTCTTTTACAGGTACTTTAATATGATTTCAGAAATTCTGCAGTTTGCTCTGCACACACTCATGTTTTCTATTTTCCCAGCTGTGGTCCGTCTGCTCCTACAGTTTCCACCTCAATCACCAGTAAGAACACTGCTCCTCTGATTCTCGCATCTTTAATTTGTCTCCTGATATCTAGGACTCTTGTCTGTGTAGTTACACAGCATCTCTATATCTGTTTTAAAAATTCTGTCCTTCAAGATCAGCCTGAGCCACATACTGAGCTCAAGACCAGCCTAAACTGCTTAGTGAGACCCTGTCTTAAACAAAAATAAATAAAATAAAATAAAATTCTACTTTTTCCCTCATAGATTTTCCACACATGCACTCCAACTCAGTACTTTGCATTTATTATATGAACCCCTTCAATTTGTTAAAGTCAAGATCAATTTGAATACTCCTCTTACTTTACCGAATATTCCTAGGAATTAAACTAACAGTAGACTTATTTACGTATCACATTATACTGTCTGAAGACACTCCTAAACTTCTATAGATGCAGTATAATCCTTTACTTGTTAATATTCTAAAGAACTTTCAGAAAAAAACGTAGTCAATTTTGTTAAGAGATAAAAAAACCTGCATAATAAAATGTTTCCAAATTATTACAATGGAAATTAGTATGCAAGAACACTGAGGTCTGAGATACTCATGTCATTCAGCATCTTTTAATATTAAAATATTGAAAAAATTATTGAAGTTTGGGATCAATATATGCACATTTTAGCAATCACATAAGACTCCCTAATGTAACTGATGATCAGAATCACATTGAGGTTTTTTTTTTTTTATTTTTGTCTTTTTGAGACAAGATTTGTCTATGCAGTTCAGGCTGCCCTTAAACATACTTTGCAACTAAGATTGGCTTTAAACTCACAGTGATCCTCCTCCCTCAGCCTATGGAACACTGGGATAATAGGCATGCACCACCACTACCTGAACATGTAGAATTTTTAAAATATCATGAGTTAGTATGTTACCTACGCACTTTAGTTGTGCAATATAAAGCCTAGTTATATAATCAAGTCAGTAAATATTCCATGTCAGTCACCTGCATGAGAACAGAGTCATTTGGTCCAAGTTGTAGGTTTTTGTCCACTTTGCTGATCTTAGATGATAAGAGATTCCGCACCAATGCCATCTCTGGAAATACAGGCAGGTAAAAAACACACACAGCACTACCACACCTTGAAATAGTTCCATGTGACAGAGTCTTTCCATGCTTGCAGGTGAAGGAAGTTTGATTCATTAAGCCTTCAGGAAAAAAACTGTTGCCTTTTATATTGCTGCATTTTTTTCTAACTAATATCGAGAATGTCCCAAAACCTCAACAATCTATATCTTGATTATAAATAAAGACACCCCAAATTTTCATTATTGATAAATATTCTCCTAAAATCAAATATTAAATTAGCATTTTAAGGCTAAAAAAGTAAATTTATGGTAGAAAGCATCACACATTACTAAGTTACATATTTGCAATTTGTATTTTATAGCCATGAAATTGAAAGAATGAAATACACTTTAAAATATTTTGATCCCAAGTCAGAGGTACTGGCCTGGTTTCATCCTGGTACTGGAATTTAGAACTAACTAAATGATAGGGAAATTTTTATTCCCTACATTAACCTGGCTTAAGTCTATCATTTCAATTTCTGTGATAATAGCGAATACTGATATAGACAGACGTTCTATGAAATAACAGCAAAAGTCTGTGGACACTTAGTGTACATTTAAAGCATTAAACATATTGCTCAGTCATTCATTTACTGCCTCTCAAAACGTGATTATTTCCTTAATTAAATTCACTGAGACCTTAAGCATCATTCTGATGCTAGACTATGCCCCTCCAGAGATGCTGTGAAGGTAATAACCACGTAGAAATAGATTTGCAGAAATCAGTCCTCTCAGGATAATAATATACATGAACTACTTGAGACCAAATCACCCAAAAGGGGAAATTAAATCTGAATAAAAATGAAATATGTAAACATGCTCATTTAAATCATGACCTCATATAAAAGAGATGGAGAAAATCAAAATATATGAATCTATTAAGTTGTCATTGAAGTCCAAAATTTTGTAAAATTAATTTTCACAGTTAAAACACAGTTTTAAATGATTTGTGTTTCGGGTAAGTTTGATGAGTGCATAGTCTAGAATATGCCTTTTCAGTTCAGATTTCTGAACTCATTGCTAGAAGAGAAAAATTTAGTTCTTGGCTTTTCTTGCTAGTAAGGATTTTTATTACTGACTCAGTCTTTTGTGTTGTTCATTTTCTTAGGCATTGTATTTCTTCTGGATTCAGACTTTTTAGGTATTATGTCCCTTGTATTAAGTTTATCTCCTGGATGTAATGGAGATACGTCTATTTTGGGGCCTAACATTTTTCAGAACAATCCCTGAAGGTCTTTATTGACTCTCAAGTTTATATTCTGTTGCATGTATTTAATCTTTTCATTTTATTTATTTGAATATTCTGTTTTATTAAAATTAGCTAGATACCGATGCATTCTGTTTTGTCCTCTTAAAGATCAAACTTTTACTTGCTTGATTTTTTTTCTGTTTTGCATTAAATTCACTGTACTAATCTATACTATTTCTTTTCTCTTTACTAACTTTGGGCTGATATGTTCTATTTCTAATTGTGTAAAATGTGATAATTTATATGAGATCTATCCTCTTTTTTAAAATCTCAGATTTTATTACAATAAAGTTTCCTCTCTGTACTCTTCCTGGGATCTATGTGTCTAGTAAAATGATCAATAAAAAAACAGACAATCATAAAACTGAATACCAAAAAGGAGGAAAAATATGGAAAAGGTAAAGAATGAAGCAAGTATCAGTAGATATTTTCAAATGAAAACATATATATGGCCAAGTGGCACATGTGTCTGTGCTCAATTGGAGTAATCACCAAAAATACTAATCAAAATTACTGAACTAAATTGCCTCACAGTTGTTAGAATGGCTATTACTGAACAGACACAAGGTAACAAATGTCAGTGATATTATAGAGAAAACACAAACTTGCACACTCTTTTTGGGGTTCTAAATTAGTACCGTGGTTATAGAAAATGGCTTGGAGTTTCCTCAAAAAAATAAAATTATACCTACCATATTATCCAGCAATTATATTTCTGAGTAGTTATTAAAATACAAAAATAATATTTTATATAGATCTGTACTTTATAACAGCATTATTCACATAATCCAACATACGAAACACCAGTGTCCATCACTCAGTTAAGGGACAACCAAAAAGTGACATATATGTACTGTACATATAATTATCATTCAATTATATTATATATTATAGAATAAGTTGGTAAGTAATATATAATACAGTAATACAGTGCCTCAGTTCATCAATATTTGTGTACACAAAGAAAAGCATTTTGCA